AAACAATCGACACTTGTCACTTATCGTTAAGATGTACGATTAATTCACTGTCACTAGAAGTTCGTTTAAAAATCCGTTGTAATTCAAAAAGAAAAAAATGTACACGAGAATAAGCAGAGATAAACGAGAACGATAATGAAATAAAGAGAGAAAACTTATTAAAAGAAAGGTGTACAGTGAATGAGTAGTTTCGTACTCACCAAGTTCATGATGCTGTCTGTGCTCGCACTCGGTTAGCACGCTGCTTTTACTCGGAAAGATGATTTTCAGATAGTGATAGTTCCATGGAAGAGGAGGGGTCCATGATCCACGTGGATAAGATGAGAAACAGGCTATATCACTTCCTTCACTATTTTCCAAATATCGATGCGATTCGTAAACAAAATTGCGATAAAAGGAAGATAGATGTTTGTAATTTTGAAAAAATTAAAAAACAATTATTTATAAAATTATTTTTTTATTTAAAAAAAAAATTTTATTTAATTATGTTTTGTTAATTATATTTAATTATGTATGAAAATTATATGTTTTTTAAAAGTATGATTACAAAAATATTTTTTTGTTATTTATATAATTAAATTCTCTTTTAATCACATAATTCTAATATTTTGAATTTCTATTTTATAAATTCAAATTTGTAATAATATTTGATATGATATATTTCTTATTTTATTATCAATTAAGATTTTAAATAATATTTTTATTAATTTAATTTAAATAATAATAATAATTATGATATTATATTGGAATCTTGTGATATAGGAATTATTATAGTAAAATAGAATATAAATTTTTTATTTAAGGCATTTAACTAAATCAAGTTAAATAAAATATTTCAAATACAAATAAAATTGGCTAATTCCTAATTAGATACGTATTAATTATCGATAAATAATTATTTTAAATGTGAAAACAAGCGGAAAATGTAGAATTTTAGTGTCTAGTTCTTTTGAGAAAATCAAGATTGAACATTATACAGTTAAGATAATATTTATAAATTTTTAAATTCGATTTTCTAAAAACTAATTTTTAAATAAAAAGCATGTCTTCTTTATTTTTCGCATATTTTCACATTTAGAATAATTTTTATAAACAATTCATTGACATGTTATAAAAGTTAACTAATTTTATTTATATTTGAAAAACTTAATTTATTCAAAAATAAAGCCTTCTATACAATTATTCTTAATTTTCATCTTTTTAAGTTACAAAATCTCTTTGAATTCATTTATGCCATAAATTATGAATTTTATATTAGTATAATATATTATTTATATTAAATTAATATATAATAAGTGGTAAAATATATGTATATATATATATACACCAGTTATATATTATATATATTATATCAGTTATATATTAATTTAATATAAATAATATATTATATTATATAATATATTATTAATAATAATATATAATAATAATAAATATA